TTAAAAACTTAATTAAGCCAAGGGAACCATTAGATAGATTTTAATTAATCCTTTTAATTAAAATCTCTACATTTTCAAACTCATCCAAATGTTCTCAAATTAACATATGTTAGGGAACATGCCAAGGCCTATTATAATATTACATCACAAGTTTATTTCATTCAAGTTACAACCATGTGAATTAAACTTTCACAAAAGAAAAATATTAAATAAAATTTACAATTCTTATTCAAATGATTCCAATTTAATATATGTTAACAAGTATACTAAGGCCTAAATTACTAGCATGCCACACTTTAATTCCAAGTTGTATATCATCATGAGGATTAAATCTCAAACAAAGAAATTAATTAAACAAAGGATTTCAAAACCTAATCAAATATTCTAGATTAAATATATGTGAAAGTACATGGCATGCACATCAAGAATATCAAGTTAGAAATCCAATGGAGTGAATAGTGCACTCGGAATAAATTAATTAATTAAATATTACTAGATTTCAAAACGTCTCCGATTACTCTCAAATTCACCTATGTTGAAGAGCATGCTAAGGCCTAATATAATATACTAACACATGTTGATTTCAAGCTAGTTAAGGCCATATGAATTAATCTTTTATTCAAGATAAATATTAAATAAAATCTTCGTTGCTTATCCAAATGCTCTAAATTTAATATATGTCACTCAACATATCATGGTGTAATATAATGTCATGCCACAAGTTCAAAACATACTATAATCCACCAGGAAAATCAAATCTCATAAAGAAATTAAATAGTTAAAAATTCTAGATTTGATATCTGAGCATGCAATTGAGTTATATAAGCATCCATAGCATGTAATATAGCAAGAATATAAACTATAACACCCCCTACCTCAATTTGAGATGAAAATCTCAAATCCCCACCGAATGAAAAGTGCTCCAAATCCGACGATACCGCGGGGTTTTGTCAGGGACAACACGATGAACATAACCCCCAAGGAAGCCCCATGAAAATCACAACTTGACTTCAAACCCGAACTCAAGAAATGGTCAGAAATGAATTCTAATAAGGGGGAAAGGTAGAGCACGTCAAGGCGAACAATAAATGTTAAGGTTGAAGATTTTCTACCAAGAAAATCAAGTGGAGGAGAAGAAAGAGTGAAGGCAGCCCCTTGGGCTCCCATGGCTGCCGGCCAAGAGGAGGAAGAAGGTCTAAAAATCTGATTTTAAAAATTAGGGCAACCTATTTATAGAAATCTCAAGAAGTGCCCCGAAAGGGCCCCGTCGGGTCCAGAGAAGTGGGATTTGAGCAACCGTACTCAAACGGAAAAACTCTGTGAACAAAAAAGATTCAAAATGAGAAAATATGAACAACGGAAGAAACAGCGTCAAAAATCGAGTCCCGAGCAAAGAGATATGCCCCGAACAAGTTCGGTGGCAATCGAGGCCAGAAATCCCTAAAACTGGGGAAAACGACTAAAACGGAATTCTAAGAGTACACGACTCGACGAAATATGAAAATGAATCCCGTACGAGGATCCAGGCTCAAAATAAGGTATTTTGTAATAACTTTCGTTGATTGCACAATGGCCCCTACAAAAAGGGTTAACTGCGAAATTGCCCCAGAATGAAAATATCTTCCAAAAAATATCTTTCAAAAGATATTTTCTTAGATACCCCTGAAATAAAATATCTTCAAAAGATATTTATGAAAAACACCCCAAGAAAAGAAAAAAAATTCTGTAAAACTGTTCATCCATGCCCCTATGGACACCAGGAGCAACTAAAGTATTTTCTTGCAAAAGTAAAAATACGTATTTTGAGGAAACCACTGAAGATAAAAGTACGTGAAGTCAAAAATCAACTTCAAGCATGAAAAGTGAGGCTATGCCAACAAAGTGACAAATGGGGAAAAGACAAAATCGGAAAAAGGACGAAACAGGGAAAATGACGAAAAAATGAATAGTGTCCGAAAAAGTAAAAATGTGGAAATGACTCGGTCCTCAAAAGAAGTTGTCAATCCACACGAACGAGTCTCGGAAACCAATTCCAAGCACTCGAGACAACACTAAGTGACGAGAAATAGAACTCAGAAAAGAAAATTAAACGGAAAAAATTTATCCGTAAAATTTCAGAAAAAGGAAAGGAAGGTAAATGACCGGGTCATTACAACAAATATCATTGTTAATATACGAATGTAATATCATTATCATCATTTACATAACCCAAAATGTACCAAATAGTCCTAAAGAATAAGGTAACACAGCTAAGGCCTTTGTGGCTATAATCACAATGTCATTACATGAAACTAACATTAACGGTTCCTTTACAAAAATAAGTGTAGTCAAGTAAGCATTGATACAAAAAATGCCAAAATAGAGTCCTTTAGCTACATCTACTCTTGGGAAGGTGCGTCGTCAATTACTTCTTTGCCATGCCTTGAAAAATGTTAAAGTGAAGAGGTGGGCACTACGGCTCAGTAAAAAATGCTTAAAACATTAACTTTGAACTCCCTTGAATCGACAACAAAAGAATGAAAAAAATAATGAAGTAGGGGTCATGCGTTAGGAAGCTCATAGATTTTCAACCAAGGCTCAAGACTTGTGACATTTTATATACGACAAGATCAATGTATATACATGCTATAATGTCATGAAATGCAATGCCATCCCGACTTCAATTCCAAGCCAACACAACTCACATTGAAAATCGCTTACCGACTTTACCGAGGCGAGATTGATTAACTATCATTGGTCTCAAATCCAACGTCCGTTTGGGGCCTAGTTAATACAATATTACAATTCCAAATCTGGCACGTGATCCCTCTAGATCGAATTAGCCCCGGACATGCGATATCCGATTCGTTTCTAAAAATATTTTCACAAACCTCTTGAAATTTTGATTCATTGACATCTCAACCCAACCTTTCTACCATGCTCATGCCATGAATGAAAGGTGCAACATTATATACTCAATGTACAATTACTAATTTCTCTTGCATTCATTTATCCATTCAACTACACATGCGACCATACAATCGAAAACATATCATGTTTGATTCACAATAGCATACATAACATTTCCATTATGGCAGGCAAATATATTGAGAAATTTAGCACTTTGTACTATAACCATCATATTATAACATGGATTTTCACATATAAAGGCATAACTAGCATTTCTTTCATCATAATCCCCCTGTACTTGAGACCACTGTCTAAATGCAAGGTCCAACCCTCTACATTCTCACCACTTAAAATCTATGTGCGAATGGACTCCATCTTGCCATCCTTCTGTTGTGCCTCAATAACCCTGCTAATAAAAGCTAGTTGAGCCACAAGGCTAAACAAAATAGCCGGTGAATCATCCTCACAGAACTGTAATCCAAGATCAGCAAGCACCTCTAGCATCTTCCATATATGAATGGAAATTCTAGCCAGAGTCCCCCATGACTTCCTACTCAAGGCATCGGCTACAATGTTGGCCTTCCCCGGGTGATACTGCAACTCAAAGTCATAGTCCTCCATAAACTCCACCCATCCGCGTTGCCTCAAGTTCAAGTCCTTCTATGAAAAGAGATACTTGAGACTCTTGTGATCGAAGAAAACCTCAAACTTCTCCCCAGTACAAGCAATGTCTCCATCCATTCAGTGTAAATATCACTGCTGCCAACTCTAAATTATGCGTCGGATAATTCAACTCGTGAGTCTTCAACTGTCTAGACCCATAAGTAACTACCCGTTCTGTTTACATCAGAACGCAACCCAAACCTTCTCGTAAAACATCACAAAAGATCACATGACCTAGACCACATTCAGGTATGATCAAAACTGGAGTCGATGTCGATCTGACCTTTAACTCCTGAAAAGCTAAGTCATAAGCCTCATTCTATATGAACATGACTCCCTTGCGAGTAAGTCTAGTCATAGGTGTTGCTAAACGAAAGAAATCCCTAACAAATCTCCAGTAATAGCCGGTTAGGCCAAGAAAACTCCAAATCTGGAACACACTCTTTGGAAGTCCCAATCCATCGCAGACTCAATCTTTGACGGATAAACTGAAACACCACCTCCTGATACAATCTGACTAAGGAATTCATTTCAGGTAGCCAAAACTCGCACTTTTCGTACTTAACATATAACCGGTTATCCCTAAGGATCTGTAAAACCGTTCTCAAGTGATACTCATGTTTTTCTCTCGAAGATGAGTACACGAGAATGTTATCAACAAACACTACCATAAACTTGTCAAGACAGGCATCAAATACACTGTTCATCAAGTCCATAAAAGTTGTTGGAGCATTGGTCAAACCAAATGGCATCACGGGGAACTCATAATGGTCATACCGTGTACGAAAAGCAGTCTTGGATATGTCCTCATCCTTAACCCTCAACTGATAGTACCGCGACCTCAAGTCGATATTCAAAAAACATATCGCTCCCTTTAACTAATCAAACAAGTAATCAATCTTAGGTAATGGATACCTGTTCTTGATCATAGCGTGATCCAATTTGCAACAATCAATGAAAAGTCTTAATGACCCATCCTTATTCTTCGCAAAAAGAACCGGTGCTCCCCACGGTGAAGCACTAGGACGAATAAAGCCCTTAGCTTTCAAATCATCAAATTGTCCCTTTAACTCATCCAACTCTACAGGTGCCATACGGTACGGTGCCATAGAGATGAACGCTGTATCGGGTATGACATCAATGGTAAACACCACTTCCCGAATAGGAGGTAACTTCGTCAACTCCTCCAGAAAGACATCAAGAAACTCCTCAACAACTGCCAAAAGAACACGACCCAAACTCCTGTCTTCATCGACTAGCAAACTAGCCAAGTAAGACTTGTGATGACTCCAGTCACCGATACTAAAAACAATCATAGGGTGAGGATCACTCCGATCTCTCACAAAATGAAAACAATTTCCCTTGGGAGTGAAAACAGACACCTTCTCACGGAAGCAATCGATCATGGCCCAAAAAAAAAAGACAACCAGTCCATCTTGAGAATGACGTCAAAGCCCATCATGTCGAGAAGGATAAAATCGAACTCCAAAGTCTGCCCAGTTATCTGAATAGCACAGCCCCGATAAATCCTGTCCAAAGAAATAGGACTTCCAATTAGTGAGTCAACACAAAGGAAACTATCCAGAAAGGAAACCTCTAAACCTAATGAATGTACAAATGATGATGTAATAAAAGAATGAGATGTACCTGCATAAAACAAAACTCTAAAAAATGAACAGAAGAAAGGTACCTCGAGCAACTGAAGTCCCAGTAGAAACATCTACCTATGGGAGAGAAACGACAACTCTTCCTTGAGCTCCCAATCCTTGCCGTCCACTAGCCTGCTATATGGAAGAACTAAGGATAGAGCCCTAAGTAGAGCGTAAGACGTGAACTGAAACAACTGGACGTGGTGTTAACGGAACTCCAAACCCGGACTGTACCACTCTGGACTGTGCCAGCGCTGCCTGAGAACCCGTGCCACTATGTGACATATTCAACAACTTTGGGCACCCTTTCTTGAAGTAGCCTGGCCGATGACAATAGTTGCAAAGACTATGTCCCCTCTTAGCAGTAACAGTCGGCTGAATGGTTTAAGCCTAAAGTTGTGGGCAATGAGCTGATGGCAGTGGTGACATAGTATCTCACGAGTGGACCTCGCAGTCAAGGGAACTGTGGGCAATGAGGCCTGATGTGCCATAGCTGATGGCAGTGGTGACATACTATCTCATGAGTGGACCCCACAGTCAAGGGAACTATGGTCGTAGGACGAGTCTGCTGTAATGGTCTCTGTGAGTAAGTAATGCTCCCAACTCTAGCCTTCTTTGCTTGCTTCCCTGAAAATGAAGCCTCATCCACACGTCACTTCTTAGACTCCTTGATCCGCAATGCCTCCCTAATATCTGGCTCAATGAGCATAGTCCTTTGAACTATCTCCTTGTAAGTCCTTAGGCCTAGAAATGGAGAACGTGGCCTGACGTCAAGCTGTAAGCCATCCCGAAGTCCCCTAAAATACTCCGAAGCCTCATTGACTACTGGTGCTACTGCTGGAATCTATATCCCCACAACCTGCCTGCAAATCAACTCTTGAAGAGATTCAGTAATCCCTTAAGTCACTTCTTATGCAATCTGCTCCTCATCCACATGTGCCTGTGGTAGATCAGTATCCACACTTCGAGCTTAAGCTATGGCCCTCCTTAGAAAGCCCCTAGTAAGCTCGATGTCATCAACATGTTTACCTCTAGCATGACGTGAAGACTCTCCACGTGTCATAACCATAATGCTATAAGCATGAAGAACCAGGTTAGCATAAACGTAAGTCACCATCGCCACATGCAACTTACTCAATGAAGGCATGAAACATAAGGCATGATAATGTAAACAAACATATAGATCATGCTACGGTAATTAAGGAATGCTTCTAAGTTATTAGTCATATAAGCATGTAAACATGTGAACACATCAAAACATGTCAATAAGAAGCATGAAATAAACCCAAAACCCATCGTTCTAAGGTATTCAAACCTAGATACTTTGATACCACTTGTGACGGCCCGAATTTACATAACCCGGAGCGTCAGCGAGTAACCCAAAAACTAACCCTCCGAAACATAGAAGCAAGAAAAGAAAAGAAGTCACTAGAGATGGAAACCACCTCTAAGATGACAAAGTGACCTTCTAAGAAGTCACGAGACTCAAATAGGAAAAGAATGCGAAAATTAAGGTTAAAATAGACTAACTATAGAATTAAGGGTAAAATGGTCATTTTAGAACAAAATTGGATGCTAAGTGCATACCATTAGATAGCCAACAAAAAATTAATAAACTTAGGCTCGAGAATCACCTAATTTAGAGTCAGAATGAGTGAGATATGAAGTTTCAAAGTTTAGTTAAAAAGCTGCAAAGAAGGTACTTTGTGCCCAGGTGCGATCGATCGTAAGATTACACAAATGATGGTACTTCCAAGAAGACCCCAGGTGTGATCGATCACACTAAGGGTGCGATTGATTGTAGAGTGTACGAAGATGAAACTGCCAAGATAACCCCAGGTACGATCGATTGCACCCACTTGCAATCGATTGCACTCACCTGCGAATGATCACCTGAAACCTAAAAAAATTTTAATTTTTGAAAATCTTTAGGAAGATGTGACTTTTTGGAAAAAATTTGTGAAGTAACCCCCCCTCCTACTCAAATGTGATCCTTTCGTCCCCTAAGATCAAACCCAAAAACAATCAGGCATGTGAAAAGTCAAAAATGCCCCCAAGTGCATGAAATGCCAAAAAATGAGTACTTGATACAAAGTGTCCTAATTTGCATACATTAAAATTACTTGGCCCATGGCCTCATTACATACATGTCAAGTTTACACAAAAGAAAGTGCGTGGGTGGAAATTACACATACAAAAGGAAGCTAAGCAAGCTTCTAAATATATTACACATTGGCAACCGTGAAAAATATATGCAACATGCTAACACTTGCATGTGAATATTATACAAAAGATGTTCAAAACATAAACATAAGTCCGAGCTAAGGATATGTGCATCCAAGAAAAATACCTCCTTGCTTGAAAAATAATAATCAACTAGGGTGAGTAATTTGAATTACTCCGTAGGAAATGCATATGCGTATAACCTAAGGTTTCAAAGGTTTTGCAAGCATAAAATAGATAGATACATGTGAATCACGCCTCCTAACGTATAGTTTCAAGGTAAAGCTAAAGAATCATCCTAAAACTAACTATGAAGCATTATAAACATAATCCATAATAAGTAATGTATTTAAATAATATAGGAACATCCAATGCAAAACAACAAGTTACAATTACATAGTATTGTCAACTTGGAAATAAAATGCGAAATCAAACAATATGAATATCTTGGACATCACGTTCGATTTTGAACCAAGACGAAAATAGCTATTTTGGGTTACTAGCCTGCCGATAACTACCCAAGTGGCCACTATGTTGGGGAGAACTCATACCTCTCGTACTAAAGCCATACTCAAGCCATGTCACGAAATCAATGCCCCAAGTATCCAAAATCAACAAATAATATCACAATGTAGACATAAGTATACAATTCACTTAATCACTTTCTATGCACAATCAAGGTTGGAACGACACACTCCATGCATGCTCTAAGTCTTCAAGATTACTATGACATTACAATGACAAGTCCACAATGCGAATGAAACTACACTAGTATAATGATGTCAATAAGAAGAAATCAATTCATGATAACATAGTAAACCTTAAGCATTTAATTAAATTACAATACAATATTATACAAGCTTATAACAATTTAATTGGCAAGAATCATATAAGAACTCCACAATTACAACCAAATGAAATTACTAATAATTAATCCTCTACCAAATACAATAACAAGCTTTACAAGAGATATCATACTATGCCTTGACTAATATGAAAGCTTAAGTCAACATACATACAACCCTCATCTATATGCAATCCTACAACTCATACAACATGTATACAATATATATTAAGCATCAAAACACAAAGGAAACACTAAGATCATAAACATAATACACCCCTACCCACTAGAGATGAGACTCCCTAGAATGTAAAGGAAATGTATGTAAAATGAAATCCAAGAGAAAGGTGTTGAAGACAATGGTGCAAGGGAGCTTTTGTCTTCCAAAAGATAGGCCAAAAGATGTGTGGAAGATGGTTGAAATCAAGATCTAGGGTTAGGGTTTAATGGTGGCTTAGGTGAGAGGATGAAAAAGATGAAGCAAAGTCTCTAGTTTCTCTACTAACAAAGTGATATAATATCACTTTAACTACACTAGTACTGCCTTCCACACACACACTTAAATCACAACCCTCCACTTGTCACCACTAAAAGCATCCACACCAAACATTAAATCCACCTTACACTTGTCATCATACAAACCTTCCAAATATCTCCAACCAAAAATCAACACTTGGTCCAATGAAAGAGTGACACTTGTCACACTTTTCAAAAATTATAAAAAAGTCCCTCTTCTAAATATCTCACAAAAATAATTACAAAAAGGTCCCTAAACCAAAATATTTCAAAAAGATAATCCCACAAATAACCCCAAAAATGAAAATATCCCCCAAAGAAATAATGCAATTATACCCCCAAGAAATGAAAATAAATTAACATGTTTTGCTACACAATTAAACTATATGCATTGACAATAAAATAAAATAAAGTAAATGCATGAAGTGTCATAAACTAATGTGGCCTATTTTTTGGATCCCGTGAATTTCAAGAGAGAACGCAAGGATCCATGTGCCGTCCCAGGAATTTCAGGAGATAGGTATGGATCAATGCGCTATTGTCCTTTCTTTAAATTACAAAAACGAGGGGGGGGGGGGAGGGGGGGGGGGGGGGGGAGCAAGCCAAGATGGAGGGCTAGATTTGGCCTATTTTTTGGATCCCGTGAATTTCAAGAGAGAACGCAAGGATCCATGTGCCGTCCCAGGAATTTCAGGAGATAGGCATGGATCAATGCGCTATTGTCCTTTCTATTCTTTTAAATTACAAAAACGATATTTTGCCTTGAAATTGCATCTTGTTCCATTTGATAACATTGATTGACACAAACAATAAGATACAGGACACGCCAAAAGTAGAAAATTTGAGAAGAACAAAGCATATAGGCTATCACATTTATTAATTAGAATATTAATAAAGGTGATATAAAAGGTCAAGAGATCCATGTTTTTTGCATGCATAAAGATGAAGTTTATTCGTTTTGGGATACACTTTCGGTATGAGTACAAACCAAAGAAGTCTTGTCCTATTTAGTCCATTTGAGTTTACCACGCCAAGCTTGAGGTTCGCCTTATTGTTTTAAACCTTTCTGCTACCCTTTGAGCCTTCGCTGAGTTTTTCCCTTTCATAACCTGATATATGTCCCAAACAAGAATAAAATATTACAATGAATATATATGGTAAATTTTAATAACATATATAGAAATAAAAAATTATTTAAATAGGTAAGTCATATATCATTTCTTTTTTAAGGAAAATAACTTATTAATTTACAAAAATGTCTTGCGAGATTGAATTAAATTCTTACCTCTTGCCTTCGTTTCATTTGAGCTTCAACCTATTTCAGATCAAAATTACGAAGAAAGATTTTTGTGAGTTTATACATTAAATGATGATTCTAGCTAATGAAGGTATAATTGAAATCAAAACAATATCTTGCTTTACCAGAATTTGCTTTAGTCTCGCATTGTCTTCCCTTAGTAGGTTTAACTCTAACTCCAATTCTGCAGTATATGCCTGCCAAATAAAAATTGTGATTTGCATGTCAAGGTTACACTAAAATATTGTGGACCAAAGCAATCTACGAAACACAAATCGGCTACTAAATTAGCAACACTAGCCAATTAGTGTGTGATTGATGCAGATGTGTCAAAGTCTGTGAAATTGGCTTAAGAAAGGATTGTCGAATGTAATATCCCTTTTGACATATTAACTAATCAGACGATTGCAAAGAGATGGATTACCAACTCTTTTCTTGGTTGAAGTTTTCTCCATAAAGAAGACTTTTTAAAGAGAAATGCTATAAAATAGGAAAGTTTAATTGGAAAGAACAATGATTAAATTAAAAAATAAGAAACATAAATTTATAGGAATAGAAATGGCAAATAAGGAAAGACATTATATTGAAATAAAATTGTTGGCTTGTACCCTTTCAAGGTATCGGTCATCTACAAACCCATGAGGACTTCACCTCCTATATTTTCCAACTCTGCTAGCAAGGCACGATCATGACAAGCCAAAATTCAATTATTATGTAATGTCATATTGGCCGATATGACTTCCATCTCTATTAAAAGAACGACATTATGCCAATATAGAGTTACTCCAGTACTTGATCTTCTTGAATTCTTGTATGCCCATAAAAATTATAATGATAACTCATACCAAGTTTTTGGATCTCCATCTTCAAAAATAACTTTAGCTAGCTGATTAACTCTCGGTTAAGTAAGCTTTCAGCTTTACACAAGCTATAAAGGCCTGCTTCCTCATTTTTTCTTTAATGGGGGTTTCTTGATCAGCAATTGGCCAACGAAGTTCAATCCTCAGTCAAGATAAATTCTTGTGTAAGTCTTTGAATTTAGCATCAACCAAACTTCTTTTCATAGTGGCCAACGCTGGTCTCCCCATTTATTTATGCCTATAACTATTATCAGTACAAAATTCTTATCGTGTAGCATTACATTGGCAATATAAAACTTTGCACTAAATATAGCCAATTTACTTTCCTTTGCGATTTTGTCACTATCACAACCTTTTCCGTTGCCATCTCCTCTTTATTTTTATAAAATTAGGTCGAGAATGAGGAGCTAAATGAATTCTTTCAGCCAATAATTATTCTAGCTAAAAATTATATATCACACTCGGCCAAGCATCCTGGAACTCTAGCCGAATTGATCCTGGAATTCTCTGCCCTTGTTAAGAAGTGAACCTCTTGAGAACACTTCTTCTGGTAGACCAAGTTTTGACTTTATCATTTTTTTTTTTTTTTAGTACCCTTCCACTTAGGGCAACAAGCATGTTGAATGAGAGCGAGTTAAGCTTCTCCCAGTTGCTCTTCCAATTCCTACATCATCTTAACATCTGATATGACTGATGGTGTACTCTCAGAAAACTTGTGCTGCTATTTTCATTACCAATATCAACCTTCTTTCTGGGAACAAAGCTGATCATATTATTGCCAGCCATACTTGGAAAAAGATCACTGTCGACCAGCATGACTTTCGACTGCTTATTAGGTACTTCATTGTGCATCATTGAATGCCTTTTTTTCTAGTATTAGTTACTTCCTTTTTGGCAGATACTATAGATGGTTGAGTAGCACCTATGGTTGGTTTTGGTTTGCTAAGACAAAACTCTGTGTGAGATATATCTTCCATCTGCTGCCAAGTAAGGAAAAAATTTAGCGGTAGATGAGTATACAATAAGAAAGCTAGCCCCATTAGGGATTTCAGGAAAAGCCTTATTTTCAACCAAGGACTAGCACTAGCCTCACCGCATTGAACTGTGAAGGGGAAGATGTGCTCTAATGTTGATTGGAATCCTTTGCCACGCCACTGAAAGTAACAAGTTAAGGACCTTATATCCTCGAAGAAAATATATCATATTGATTGCCTCTAGATAGGGTTTCTATGCACTATTTAGCCTACCCTTCTAAGGCCATGACAATATTCTTGATTAAAAATATTAGCCAGCTAACCCTTATCGACCAACATTGACTAATTGGTTTGCCCAGCGGTTGGTTGTACCCGATTTGCCACTAGTGTCTAGTTTGTTGTTGATGGCTAATAGTGATCGGGCCAACTTTGTAGCTAGTTAGCCATTTGGCTATCCCTGGGGTACTTGAGGTTGCGACTAATATTCTAGCATCTAATGGACTTGAATGTCTCCACCTAATATTGCTGCCGCCCAGTTTGTGTAATGTCCCAGATTTTTTTAGATTTTTCATTATTTATTTTATTTTTCTGTGCATCATTTTACGCACCATGTGGGACCTAATATATTTTTATTGCATATGTTTATTTAATTGTTGGGGCATTGGTGTTATATATATATATATATATATATATATATATATATATATATGCATAGGTGTATGTTTATATGTGGGTTAGTGGAGGAAGATATTTAGGTGGCATGTGTTGGTAATTTGTTTAATGAAGGAGGGCTAGTTTGGTTTTTAGCCAAGTCAAATGGAAGACTTAATTTGGGCCACATGTTTTAAAAGGCTATGAATAAGCCTTGGATTCACTTTTCCAACTACTATCATCTCATCAATCTCATCTCTATCTTGTCACTCTCTCTTTCCCTCATTTTCTTTTCTTTTTCTTTTTCTCACTTTCTCTATAGATCTTGCCTCCATGAGTGAGAATTGTGAGAAGCCATAGTTAGAGAAAGTTTAGAGCTTGGCAAGGGCTACATTTTAACACCATTCTTGCATTATTTTGGTGGATTTTGAGTTTGGATCTTAAGCTAGATTTCATCTTTTGAGGTAGGGAAGTCTAAACTACAAGGTCTTTAATCTTTGTGAGTTATCTACTATGTGTATTTGTTGAAAGGCAGGATTATGTGGAAGGTGTTGTTCTTTACTTGTTGAATTTCTTGAGATGGTAATTGCTTCACATAATTCATGCCATATGTATAAGCGATAATATGTTTTATTTGGAAAAAAGCATGCTATGATGATATGTGTTTATTTCTTGAGAAATGTTGATGATTGATGTATGGCATGCATTTCATGGACATGGGTTTGGTAATGGGTTAGAAATGATACTTAAAATGGTTTCCAACAGTTTTGTAAAAAGTCAATTTTGAAAGCTTTGAAAGGTTTTGAAAATAGTTTTGTAAAACGGGCGCTATAGAGTTGTCATGTGGTCCAAGGTTAACCAATCTAGAAGGGGGTATGAGACGGTTTGGATGTGTGTATTTGAACTACCTAGGCCCCAAATGACGCTAAGGAGATGCCCTAGGTCAAGGATAGTTAGTCAATTCCTTTCGTGATGCCTAGGAGATGCCTAAGGCCGGGTTGTGTTAAAATTTTTGGTGTGGGTTGTGTTATGATGAAAATGGTTTTGGAAATGGGGAGAGTGCATTTCATGGCATTCCATTTCATTATTTGAAAGGCATGGAAATTGGATTATGATATTTGATATAATTCCCCATTATATGATTACTTTCCCTTTTACACTATGCTTTAGGTGTGATTCGCTGGATTATAAGAGATGTATTTTAGGTAATCTCTATTGACCCGTCGTGCTCACACTATATTTAACATTTTCAGTATATGGCAAGGATGTCGTAGATGAAGCACCCTCTCAAGCTTAGTTGTAACTTGACGATTATTTTGTTATCTTTTTTTAAAAGAATTCTTTTGAGTATTTAATAACATGTAATGACCTTAGTCTTTTGTTGGTTTTAAGAGAAGTCGTTGTATTCGTGGCTATGAAGGCCTTGATATGTAATCATATTCTTTTGGATATCATTTTATCATTTCAAGGAAGTATGAATGTTTAAATGGAGATTTGATGGTCAATGATGAATGAAGGATGTTATTTTGATTGTTTAATGTAATGGTTGTATGTTTAAATGATGTTTATGTGGTTTAATTTCATGTTAGTTGCCTTCGAATTGCATTGGAATGGGTTAGAAATGTGATCTATGTAATCGCCTAGACATTGGGAACCATCTGATCGGTCAAATGCTCCTATCTTAACATTTAGATGGCCTTAGCAATGAGTGATTTTGGCTAGATCTATCATCTATGAGCGCACAGATCCTCTAAAGTGTGCACACAGATGGGCATCTGTGTGCACAGATCATTCCATGTGTTCGCGCAGATGGGTAATTGTGTGCATAGATGCCCTCATGTGTTGTTATCTCATTGGCTCCAATATAGTTTGTTGGCTGAGCAAAAATCAAGATATAATGCCCCTTTCTTCCTCTAAAGTTGAGTACTTTTTTGCTTCTCAAGCGGGTTCTCAGCTACTTTGGATGAAGGTAACAATTACAGACCTTAGTCTTCAATTCTCAGGTCCTCCCAAGCTGTGTTGTGACAACCAAAGTGCCATTGCTATCAGTAAGAATCCAACTCTCCTTTGAAAGAACAAGCTCATTGACATCAAGTATCATTTTCTCAGAGACAAAGTTCAAAAAGGTCTCATTGATATCACTTATTTGGCCATTGAAGATCAAGTTGCAGATAATATGACCAAACATCTTCTTCCTCAGAGATTTACAGTCCTTAGAGACATTTTCAGGGTTATTCCACCACCCTCTTGAGCTTAAAATAGTTAGTTTATCACCTTTTGACCTTCAATGTCAAAAAGGGGGAGAAAATGACTGAAATAAAGATAGTTTTTATACTTAAGTAAGGTTTGGTGCTTACATTTATCTGTCTGTGACTGTGGTATTCATATACTTGTGTTACTGAATCTTCACTTTTTAGTTCGTAATTCATTGTGAGGTTTTGTAATTAAAGGCAAAAGGGGGAGATTGTTGGTCCTAGTGAGTACCAATTGGTGTTTTCTTGTTTGATGTAGAAACCTAGTGTTACAGAGCTGTCAAGGGCTTATATCTTCACCATTGTTGTGCACAGTGGCTTATATCATTTCTGAGGGGTAGTATAGTCTATTACCATATTGTGACACAATTTCATAATAGTTTAAGATAGTACATTGAAGCTATTCAGCCTGTTAAGCCAGTTTTCTATGTTAACTGAGGTTTAGTATATGAAATTTATCTACAGGGATTTTTAGGGATACTATGGTCGTTTTACAGTTGTATTATATGTTTTTACATTTGGTCAGATAACTGTATTGCATTAAACAACTGTGATTTAGCCTGTATTATGAATTATACAATCTCAGCAACAGATTAAGGCTGAGAATAACAAGTGGTTGTTACAAGGGAATTTTGGTCTTTCTACTTGAAGCTCGGGTGTGTGACACATTGAACAGCTGTGAAATGTCACCGATTTGATCCTTGTTGCTGTGTTCATCATAGAGTCCATTTATTGTCAAGTTTTGCTGGTGTAAGGGTTGGTTTGAAGGTTCACTTTGAGCTTGAGGTTGTTGTGGTGCTAAGTCAAGGTTGAGACGGAATTTTTGGGTACACGAATTTCCAATTCTACCCCTCAAACCCTAGTTTCAGCAGAAGGGGTTCTTGAAGCTACATATTATTGTTTTGAGCTGCATCGCTCTTATCTTTTGTGTATGCTTGAATATTATTGATATTCATTCTTTTATATGTATTTGGTGAGCTGTGAGAATTTGTAAGGTTTAAGCAATTCTTAAAACAGGCGGAGTACTTGTGAGCATTGTGTTAACCTAATGTATGTGTAGAGGCTATGAAAGTTAATGTTTTAACTTGTACAAGGGTGTGTGTAGAGTGTAAGACAACTGAGTGTGTAACTACTTGCATACAACTAATGGAGCTTATATTAGCTTAGGCCAAAAACCAAGATTTTTCCTTATTCAGAGGGTTTTCCTTGTATACCTTGTGTTCATTGTATTTGTTTATCATCATTGATCTTGCTATGAAGAAGAAGGATTTAAAATTAACCAATTCACCCCCCTCTTGGTCCAACAGTACATTGTTATAGTGGGAAAATTCTAATCCAATCCAAAATAGTCATGTTTTTTAGGTGAGACCTTTATGAATGTCCGTGGTAAATATGAGTCGAACCCAGTAAGGTACACAGAAGCGTGAACTAATATGGATATAGATCGTTTTTGGTAAGTTACTATAAAATCAGAGTTGGAATCTATGAACTTTAACAAAGTCTGGAATCTTATAGAATTTCCTAGTAGAGTAAAACCTATTGGTGGCAAGTGAATCTACAAGAGGGTATCAAACGATTTCGTAGTGAAAGGCTGAGATAATCATATGTGGAAGTTACAAAGTTTCATTTATGAACTTAGGAAAGCTTTACACAGTTGGAACATTAGTTTTGATTAAGTAGTCAAACTATTGACTTCGAACAAAACATGAATGAACCATGTATGCACAGGGTAATGTCATTGACTTTCTCACTCTATATGCTGATGACATCCTGCTCATTGGTAATGAAGTGGAAGTTTTGTTATTGATTAGGAGGTGGAAGTTCAACCAATTTGATATAATGGATCTTGGAGAAGTAAGCTATTTTCTGGGAATCAAGCTTTTGCGAGATCGGGTTAAAAAGAAAATTGGCTTATCTCAAGCATCCTATAGTTAATAGGTATCAGTCCAATCCTGGACTTGATCACTAGACAGTTGTGAAGAATATCATGAAGTACTTTAGGAGAACTTCGTATCTCATGCTTATTTATGGAGGTGATGATCTAGTCCTAGTCAGATATGTAGACTCTAATTTTTAATCAGATATAGACACCAGGAGGTCCATATTTGAGTATGTATGTTCACTTAATGGAAGGGAAATAAGTTGGTAGAGGTTAAGCAGATTTCAACTGCTGACTCAACCATAAAGGTGGAGTATATTGCATCCTTATATGCAGCAATGGAAGCTTTCATATTTGATCTCACTGAATTAAAGGTTTTGGAGCATACTTGCCTGCCTATCAAGCTAAATGCGACAATAGTGCAGAAATAGCCCAAACTAAGGACCCTAAGTTCCATAGACGAGCAAAGTACAATGAGAGGAAGTATCATGCTTTACATAATATTGTCCATCAAGGAAATGTACTTATAGTCAATATTACATTAGCACACTACCTTGTTGATCCATTCACAAAGGCGTCGTCAATTAATTGTTTTGATCATCACTTGGATAACATTGGAGTTAGATGCAATTCGAATTGGCTATGAGGGCAAGTGGGAGATCGTTGGGATGTGTATGCCCTAGCATAGCAAATTCTTATTTGGATTGTACAGACATTTTTCCTTATCTAAAATGACATTTATGTATCAAAAAATTGGTGAATTCTAATGTATTATGTTTTCAATTGATGACAGAATTGAATATGTCAACTTTGTTGCAAAAGATATATAGATGTATATGATGATGATTAATACAAGAATATAAATAGCGATCATAAATAGTTCGTAGTCGATAATTAAGGATGGACTCTTAATTAATTAAGACTTGAACCGGATCCGCTATAGGTTGAGATATATTGCGAGAGCTGTTTTATGATATTGCTCTATATCATCGTTATGACATTTGACTCTCAAGCATGAGAGATATATATTCTTTTATTAATTAGTAATTACTTTGATTTGTTCGGCGGAATCTTCAAGATCCAATGACCGGCAATTTGGGTAATTATATAATTGATAGTTAAATGGTTATATTCTCAATATTTGCATCACTGCTAGTTGCATTTACTTTTTATTGATTATAGTTGATTATAAAGTAAATTTAAAGGCCTTCGTGTGTTTTAAACAAAATGATTTTTTATGTATTTATTTATTAAATTATTATTTTTGTCAAACAAATGTTTTACTGTGATCAAGCAGAGAAATAATTAAGGAACCAAAATAAATATATTAATTGTGCGGTCGGATTGATGGCTACAATTATTCGATAGCTATTTATGCATAGAGGGGTCAAAGTGCAACATTGACTTAGTGGTTATTTACTATTTGATTGGAGGTCAATTAATTTCTTTTAGTAGAGTAGAAATTAATTTATGAATTAATTGAATTGGGTACATAGTATAATGGACCGGATCAACAATTATTAATTCATTTGAGCTGAGAAAATAGTAAGCCAATAGGATTCTCACTTATAGCCCAACTTGATATCAGGGGCCCAATAAATTGGAAATAACACTTTAATTGTAGAGATTGATAATTACTTTGACACACCATGTGACTATAAATACATATATGATGTATATTGTTAGTAAGTTTTTAAACATCATTAATGTGTGAAGATAAATATTTCTCTCTCTATGAATTTAGGATTTGTGTTCTCATCTAATGGAGGCTCCCACAAGTTATGCTTCCAAGGTCTTCATAGAGGTTATATAGGTGATTCCTAAATGAAAAACTACCATGGTGATGGTGGTGTTCTAATGAGGAAGAATGATCTAAAGTAATCTTCATAAGGGAGAACATTCCCTTTGTGGATATATGGTTTTGAAGCTTACTCAAGCTTCTAAGTAAATTTTCTAAATTTAATGAATATATCATCATCTTTTTCTTGAATTAAAGTAGCTCCTTGAGATAGATCAAAATCATTTGATGAAAAACCTTCTTCTAATTTTTTGAAAATATCCATTTCCCCAGCACTTCATATTTTTGCTCCATAGGTCCATAATAATTAAGGACCAAGTAAATCCTACTAAGAACTTACATAAAAAATAAATAAAGAAAAATAAAATAAAGAGGGGAAAATAAAGTTTAAAATGGACTTGCATAATACCAAAAAAAAAATAAAAAAATCAAATTGACAAAATCAAATTGTGTCACGTTGTATGCGTGATGTGAGGTGGTTGGGCATATATATATATGAAAAAGACATGAACGAATTAACCTGTTTTCTGGCGCGAGATCGGGCTGCAGACTCTCTGTTCTTTATCATCCGGCGTTGTCTACGCTCCACAGCCACCTCCAGGGTACCACTTGACCTCCTTCTGCCCTTAGGCCGACCCACGTTGGATGCCCGAACACATTTCCCATTTGCATTATTACCAAAGGACTCTCCCACAAACCTACCACTTTGTGTGAACATATGGTACATTGAAGCAGCATTATCAGCTAGCAAGTTGTTTCCAGTTGTATTTGAGTGATCATTAGATAATTCAAAGCCCATCACAGGTCCTGTCTCAGCAATGTTCACATCCAAACACATACTTTCACTTGGATAACTACTCCCACAGAGATTTCTGAAAGGTACTACTTCTAGCATTCTATGTTGGTCAGAAGATATCAACGAAGATGCTTCTTGAATGACCCCTGCCTTTTTTAAGAAATTTTCCAAAGTCATCTCCCCAAAGGTTTGTTGGGGTTGAGCCAGCTGTAGTTCATGAACATCGTTGTCAATGGCGTTGGACTGATTTTTAGTGATCTCCGACCAGACTTCTTCCACGGTTTTATTGCAAAGTGGGGTAGGGATGGTAAAAGAGCTTTGTCTAATTAAAGTGGCAGCTTCAGTTTCGGTGGTGGCGTCTTCCACATTTTCAGCTTCAGCTTGAACGTTTCCGCCCTCAGCATTCCAAACACTGTTGAGGAATTCATCCATGTTCATGGACCCAAAGCTCTTTCCACTCTTGTATTGGAATTCATCTAGAGTGAGTGAGAAGATTGAGTTTTTTTTGTTTAATGAAGAATTTGTGTGGTTAATCTGCAATGCTTCTTCTGGTGGTTGTGCTTGTGGTTTTTCCTCTATTTTGACCTTTGAACAGCTCATACTTTCGGACACACACACCTCCATATATACTTCACCCAAGTACCAAATCTACTTCAATCGATCTTGTTCCTTTCAGAAGCTCAATTCTACATGCAGGAATTGGAAAGATAAATTAGTAATCACCAAAGACATTTATGTTATCTTAAAGTCAACATGAGCTATAGGTAGTTTTCTTTCTATTTCCAAAATATTTTGCTATTTGTACAATTAAGTTTTCATTTTATGTTCAAAATCATTAGAAGATAATTGATAACTTGAAAAGATAACTAGCTCTCTTCTTCCACCTGACATCCACAGTACCTTTTTTAGGGCGTGTTTGGTACATGATTTGTTTTTGGTGTTTTTATTTTTGTCGGCAACTGCAGCAGTACTGAACAGTGAAAAAAACGTGTTTGGTAAAAATTATTTTGTTTTACACAGTACTTGAATGTTTCGTGAGTAATGGCCGAAAACTGAAACACTAATTCGGTATTTTTATATGTTTTCGCACACTAATGTTTGATACTATAGCGATGAATAGAACACCTGCATAACATACCCCAATATATGGTTAAAACAAGATTAAATTGCATACAAAAAAAAAAAAAAAAAAAAAGAAGAAAAAAGATAACGAAAATAAATTATTCAAGAGACAAGATCAATCACATCAAGGATGATGATAGAGTAATAAATAAAGAAGTTTAGTTTTTATCCAAGGGTCTGTTCATGTTTTGTTAGAAATTTTCACCTTTTTAATTAATTACTAATAATAAATGATTAAAATCAAAAAACCTCCCACTTATTTTTAAAATTATACATAGAACTCTTGGTAGAATTGAAAAATCCATTCAACTAAGAAAACTTATCAAATTACTTCTAAACATGTGACTGACTTGTTAAATGGGTTGTGAAATGTTAAAATTGACCTTATTATTATTATTTTTAAATAAAAAGTAATACTTAAAATAATAATTATAGAAAATAATATTTAGAGAACTTTAACTAACGAAATAATATTTTTTTCACAACTTCCTTCTATAAAAAAATCTGTGCTAACATATTCATGCTGAAAACTTAATTTCACTTTCTCCTATTAAATTAGACAGAACAGTGGGTTATTTTGAGTGGATAAGTTTAATTATATCATTTTAAATTAGACATGCAAAACCTGAATATGGTCATCCATGCTCGTAATTACACACATACACAGAAATAAACATGTCACAATTCATTAGAATCCAAATTAAAGAAAAAAGTGGGATTCAAAAAAAAAAAAAAAAAGGGGGAAGAAGAAGAAGAAGAAGAAGAAGACATGGTGGATTGGTGACACAAATATTACTCTTAATATCTCATACTAAGAATCAAATAACAAATTATGTGCACGGGGAATCCATCACTAGCACTAATTTTATCATAGAAATTATAAAATTTAAGACGAAAATGAAAAAAAAAAAAATTAGAAATTACCTGAATCTGTTCAAATCAATCGGCTTGTGAAGAGTTGTACAGAACAGAAAAGATAGAGAAATGCAGCGAGGAGAGAGAAGGCGGCAAGAACAGATCGAACAAAAGGTTGTGTATTGGGGAACATAGCTAGTGTCGAGACTAATTGTGTAGAGACCGTAACAGATATTGCATGGCATCTTTATGGTTGGTGACAGTGGACCCTACAATTCAGCCAGTGTTTGACACGTTAGTGCCAAATGCCACATCTTTTCTGCCAATTAAGTACGGTTTCAATCACTTCTTTGTATTGTTGTTAGGCACACACAAATCACAAATTTATCTCTAAATTCTCACTATATATATATATATTTTTATCAGGATGGATGCGTTTGTATGGGGGAGGTCATACATAATACAACTATATTTTTTATTTGTTACAGAGAGATCATACGTTAATAGTTCCAGTTCTCTCGTTTTATTTGGGGTATGTGTCTGTATGCACGCGTTCTCGGGGAGGATCAACCTTGGTGTCTGTTTAATGCAATTCAGGTGGTCCTTTTAAGGCCCAATAGTAGAAGACGCCTGAAAAAAATACCTCATTGCATTACTTATCTATTAATTTTCTTAATACCATTAATTATGTTTTCTTTATCAACGGATCAGTGGCCTAACACTATCAGCCTCTTACCTCCTAAAAGGAGGTCAAGGATTCAAGTGTCAGAAGAAACACATACGTGTGAGTACCAACTAGAAAAAATATATATATATGTTTCATTTATTGTATTAATTATTAAATAAATACAACTGCTATTATTATTGTATACAAATTTCTTTAATTAATTGAAAAACTTATTCATCATTACTTCCTCTCACTAAAACAGAATGCAGCTATTGGGACGCCACCCTTTTCGGACGCCCCCTCTTTTAGTGACTCCAAATTATAGGCGTCGGAAATAAGGGGGTCAATTCCGACGCTCACTATGGAGTGAGTGTAAATCTTCTTCCTTACTCGGTGTATGAAAAACTAGGCTTGGGAGAGCTTAAACCCATGTCAGTTGTATTGCAACTTGTTGATCAATCTATGAAGCAACCACGTTGGATCATTGAAGATGTTCTCATCAAAGTGGATAAGTTCTATTTTCCGGTTGACTTTCTTGTCCTAGATACAAAGCCTGTCCACTACCCCAATCGATGTATTCCCGTGATCCTTGGTAGTCCATTCTTGGCTACAGTGAATGTCAACATTAACTGTAGGACTAGGGCTATGGATATTTTTTTCGGGAGCATGAAAGTCAAATTAAACATCTTCAATACCACTCCATATTCCTCAGAACAAGATGAGTGTTTCCTTATTGATGTAATTGATAAGGACTCAGTCACTGTCTATCCAGCTAGAGAACTTCCTCTTTTGCTTCCGAGTTCTCCTTCTCATAAGTCTTCTCATAAACTTGAGCCAAATCCACGGTCGGATAAGCTTGAGTACTCTGTCTTAGGTCCTAATGGAACCGCACCGGTTTCCATTGCTTCAAATTCCACAAAAGCCCACAGGACTAGTTTTAAGATAAGAGAGGTAGTTGAGTTATTGGATACAGGCTAGTGAGTGGTGTACCATCGAACTAGCGAAGCCAAACTTAGCATTTGCGTTTAGCTAGCGACGTTAAATTTAGCACTTGTATGTTTGTACTTGAGTTCGGTTTCATTTATTTTATTTTCTTTTTCTTTTTCTTTTTCTTTTTCTTCTTTTTATTTTATTTTGTTTTCTAGGTTTTTAGTTTATTTGTTTATTTTTCTTTTATTTTTAGATTAGGTTTAGTTTTTGAAAAGAAAAAAAAGTTTTACTTGTGTATGATGATATTTATTTGTTTTACTTCATATACTTGATATTCTGATATGTGCTGTGGAGTTTGATTCTTTTGCCAGGTGTTGTAGACCAAGTTTGGGGGTGATTTTTCTATTTTGCCCTTCTATGCTATAATTGTTTATCTTTGCTGGTGCTACTTGATCTTGGTAATCTCTTTCTAACTTCAGCTTTGTTTTCACACATTGATGACAATGTGCATCATAAGTTTAGGGGTAAGGCAGTGCGCCTTTTTAAAATTTTGTTGATATTGTGTTGTACACAAGAAGATGAATATTAACTACTAAGCATAAGTTTGGATCTGTTTTTGTGTTATGATGTTCATAAGCAATCTAAAATGGGTTAAAAATGGCTTGTATGCCGAATTCATGTTCATTAGGAATTTTTAAAATTTTTTGATATCAGTTGATGGCCTGTGGTCCACTTTGTCAGGAAAGTTACAGTCAGATGATTTCGATTCCTAAAATACTTCACTTTGCACATGTTCAAACTTACATGCATTATGTGGGGGTATGAACTTGAAATCTTGTTCTATTTTGTGTTAAACTGAGATGAACAGGTGAATTTGATAATTTTGAGAACCGAGGTATAAAAAAATGGTATGTATATGAAAAAGAGTTTTTCCACTGAGTAAATGGGACTCTTACCTCATTAAGTATTAAGGATTCACGCAAAAAAATGAAAAAAACAATAAAAAGAAGTTGAAGGGTCGATCAGTATGGGTCTATAGCCTAGGTTGCTTAAGTAATTAAGTCCTTAGGGGTGTTTTGACACCTAATGCCCTAAAACCAATTGGTTTGGGAGTCATTGCTGAAAACTCATTATACAAGTGATCTAGAGAGCTTAAGAGACCCCGAGCATTGCACAATTAATATTCTGTCAACGAAAAAAAAAATGATAAAAAATGAATGATGAATGTAATAAATGTATACCAGTGAAAATTATTAAAAAATTTTGAAAAGTTAACTTGTGAATTGAGGGATAGCATGGAACAGACATGAGCATGGATGGTAAGCCACATGTTTAAAACTATATATTCACTTTTAAAAATGATTTTGGGGATCAGGATTATTTGATATGCGATTAGATTAACAAGCAGAGACTATAGTTGCTGGGAGGTTCGAAATTTTTCCTAAATAATATAGCTCTTTATACTTGTTGTATTTGACTGTTGATGCATTGCTATGACATTGTGATATGAAAACAGGTTTGAATGAGCTTATTATGCAGTAAGGCACAGATTTGAGATGTTTGTGGGTACCATCACTGGAAACCTCATGAGACTACAACTTGTCTACTAGGGTAACTTAGGGGTTTAAAGGCTTGTTGTATAGGCTAAATGCAACCATGATTCCTATGAAAGCGGCTTTTTAGTTTTGTACTACTAAGGGACTAGCAATATGTAAGTTTGGGGGTGTGATGAACACTGAATATTGCATATTCGAGCCCCTGAACATGCATATGTTAAGACCTTAAGTAGTACTTCTATCCAGTTTTAGACTAATTTTAATTTACTTTGCTTTTGTAGGTAATTTCCCAAAGAAATGGATAACACTGGGATTTTATGATGAAAAGACTGATATTGAAGCTTACAAAGTTGTCGCCGATCATCTGAAGCAAGCTTGGAGTCAAAATGGTGATTTTGGAGAAGTTCAAATGTCAAAGCTTGAGCATAAGTTCCTTAGCTTGAGTACAAAATCAATTGAAGCAAGAAAAGCATCCAAGGCCAAAAGGCTCAAGTAAAGATCTTTCTGCTCAAGCAGAGATTCAAGGTGCTTGATCT